TTTTCATCAGCAACTACTGTTTGAAATAAACTAGTACAAATATTTTCATGATGAACAGACAGTGACTCCAATCCACAACTAATTAAAGCGTCTTCGTAATTAGTGTTTGGACAGATAATTCTAATAGCTCTTTTTTGTAATCTTTCCAATTCGGAACGCAAGTATTTTGGCAACGAATAGTAAATGACAGGGATACCATAGTCGATAACAGATCGAATACATGTAACATAAAATAGAACCAGATCATTCCGAGGAATACCGGCCCGTTTGAGTTGGATCAGGTAATAGATTCGTTTGGATATTTTTTTAACTACCTCTTCGATATGTAGATTCCACGTCAGGTTATTATCGAATGACAAGCCCAGAAGTTTAACGGATTTTACGACTCTAATACTTTTATTGTTAATAAGTATCGGGTTAAAATCACGAGGGACTTTTGAGAAGGAAATACGGAGCTCCTTACATTTCTCTTCATTCAGCTTCATTTTATTGTTTTGGGACCATTGTGACATCTCATTAGCAATTGTCTGTGCTCTACTCTGTTGGTTTTTGTCAACTGTTTCCGATACTGTTGTATCGTCCACGTATTTCCATAAGTCAGTATCTGTGATAGATAAATCATTTATCAGGATTAAAAAGAGCCATGGACCTAAAATGGTGCCTTGAGGGACGCCCGAAGGTACTGCACCCCAATCTGAAAAACATCCTTGTGAAAGTTTGACTCTTTGGAATCTGTTACTTAAGAAATCAATAATCCAATTTATAACACTTCGTGGTAGATCTAACTGAAGTAGTTTTTGAACAAAATTATGTGATCAATTAGATCAAAAGCTTTTTGGTAATCGAGTAGAATGATTCTAATTGTAGAACCGGTACCGTCAAGCCCGGAGGTCCAGTTATGCACCATACTAAGAAGAGCAAAAATCGTCGATGATTTAGGGATTGCTCCATACTGATTGGGGTCAATTTTCTTCAAAAGAGCTGGTTTCACATAATCATTAACAACGAAATGCTCTGCAACCTTCGAAATATTAGGTGTTAAAGAAATGGGCCTAAGTTCTTTTTTCAGGTCCTGTACTATTTTTACTTTTGGCAGCGGTGAAACATTCGCAAGTTTCCATATTGCAGGTAGGCGTTGTTGTTTGTAGGATGCATTTAGGAGTAGACTAATTGGGAGGGCAAGGATTACAGCATACTCTCGCAAGAGCCAATTGGGCACTTCGTCGGGGCCACCACTTTTACTGGGGTTGAGTTTTTTTAGCTGTGATAAAACCCTTTCTTCAGAAACTTCTAAGAAATCTGGGTTTTCCTCTAAGTTAAGTCGCTCTAACGGTGAAGATAGTTTATATTCTGATAAGGGCTCAAGAAAAGCTGTATTTATTCTGTTTGCTAGTTCTTGTTCCGATATATCTTCAAAACCAGCGATATTTATGAAATTTATTAGGGAGCTGTTCATTGATTTCATTCCTCCTAGGCGTTTGATTTCACTCCACCAAGTTTTAGGGTTATCTTTTTCTTTACTGTGTACCTGGGTCGTATAGTATTTTGATTTACACGCTTTTCTCTCGCGATTGACAATATTTCGGTAATATTTAAAGCAGTTGGATTTTGGACCGTGACTGAAAAAGGCTTCTTGTCTTTTTTTTATAAATGTTTTCAATTTATCGGTCATCCAAGGAACATCTGCAGAGATTTTCTTAATCCATTTAATTGGCATGAGGAGGTCAAGACCAATAGCTACAATGTCATAAAAAAAATTCGCCATATCTTCACAGCTTTGTGATTGAGCAAAAATTTCAGGCCAAAGGATTGATTGTAAAAATCTCCCCATGGCATCTTTCTTACTCTGACGATGGTCAGAGTAAGATAGTTACCTTTGCATGTCAACTATTTTTCCGGTTACAAAGTCAATTCAATAATCGTTTTTCCACGCATGGTTCGCCATGTTTGAGCCACTTTTAAATTTCCCCACGTTTCGTTCGTGTTCTCGTCCCGTAGTTTTGAAGGCTCTGCCTGTCTCTCCAATGCAGCTCCAATGAGCAATCAGAACAGTTAATCTGATAAACTACGTTCGTCTGATCTTCTACCAAGGGTCGATCTTTAGTCGAAGGGAATATTTGCTCTAGTTTGCGGAGAGGTTGCATGGTTACTCGAATGTCATAAGATTTTAGAATGCGTTTCAGTACGTGGCTCTGTTAATCCTTTGATGTACAGGAGGACGGCGTAATTGTAATTAGTTTTCGTTTCCACTGACTCAAAAAATAAACGTACGAGTTTTGCGGGCGAAGGAGTTCGGTTTTGTTGCATGATACGTTTGAGTTCTAGTTATTGTAGGAATTTCGTAGGATAGCTATTTGTCATCAACGTGCTTGTTATTGTTTGTGGATAGGTCATTTCCGCCTCCTCTTGAGATATATGAATTCACAGTTGAATTCATTTTGAATTCATTCATTTTTTTGTTGTGAATTCATATTTTTATAAAGTTACGGAACGTTTTTTATAAAGTTACGGAACGTTTTTTATAAAGTTACGGAACGTTTTTGATACGGACAGATTAAGTACGTGGACGACAATATGTCCTTCTTGCAGGTCTATTGACAGCCCCTCCTGTTGTTAGTTAATAAGCAGCGAAGGTGTGTTACTGAGGAGAATGCTACACTTTACCATACCGGTCTCTTCCTCAGATTGACTGTACAATATGCATCCTTATCTTAAAACCAGAATTAGGGTTAGTACTATAGCGCATGGGTTAAGATTATTTTCCGAAATAATTTCCATTAATTATTTGTTTCAAGTGGCCGTTGGTATGTGCAGTCAACCTGAGCGAGAGACTGGGCTGTCTGTTCAGTGGTATTAGAGAAATTTTATTGAAGTTTTGTGTTTTCTTAATAGTGTAAATTTTTAGTTATAAATTATGTGCGGGATTTGCCTTGTTGAGACTACGAGTCCGTTCGCCGATCCCATATCTAACTCGCCTTTGTTGTAATGTCTTTTGTTTCGTTCTCATTTAGCATTGTAAATTTCGCGAGTTCGATTAAAGCTTCTTATTATTATGTAAACAATGAGCAACACGATTTTCAAGTTTCATATATTATTGCGACAAAGCGTATTTTGTGGCTTTGTACGAAGATATTTAGCAACACCAAACATTCTTTCAAGATTATGAATTCATGTGTACACTATTTCATCTTTATGGCGTGTAATAAAGGACGAAACAAAATTCAATTTTATATTTTGAAGACAGAATAATGGACATACTGTAGTATTTGGATATTTGGATGGTATAAAACCAAAAACTATCAAATACTTAATAGTGAAAATATAAAATACCTAGTTATAAAAAATACTATAATTAATACCATATACTATTACAGGGTGTCCCAAAAAAACACCAAAAGCTTGTCCAGAGAAATAGATAATTAGAAAATAGATTTACTAAAAAAGGATCGTCCGATGAAATCGTGTGTTGAAGTAATTTTTGTTTAGTTTCTTTTGTTATGTTGAGATGAAACATATTTTTGAGAATGTTGTTTGAGTTCTCTCGTAAGTGTTGGTAATTTTGGCATGTGACAGCGAAATGAAATTCGTTTTCCACTTCGCCAGAATCACATAGTTTACGGATACGTTCTTCTCGAGGTATAATTTCGTATCTTCCTTGTTCAATTTTTAACTTATGGATCTTTTTACGAACACGTGAGACTGCCCATTTTTACGTGATTGGAAATGGAGGCGACCAATTTTGTTTATCCGATGCACACTGCATACAGTGTTATTTTAAAGGGTTAACCGCTATATATCGACATATACATTTATTATAACGCGACGTTATTTAACGGCAGGGTTGGGAAAAATTAACGAGTAAAAACGTTGCAAAGCATACTTAGATTTACAAAATTACAAATAACAAATTTTTGTACGATGTACTATGCGAATAACTAATAAAGAAGAGTAATGCATACACTGTAAATTAAAAAGGGCCAAATCGACCCCAAATTTCGTTTCAGCCCTTTTGGGGCCAAAGCTGTTTTGGCCCTATGTGAAAGCCATTTTGGCATTGGAGAGCTGGATCTGCACCGACGGAGCCATTTTAGGTATGGAGGAAAGCTAAATTGGCCCTACCCTTTGCCGTAACGGACACATCATTTTCCAATTTAGCCCCACCAATTGCCAATATGGCCCCACAGACCAAAACGACTATCACGTCCGGGTTTGTTTTGGCCCCACATAAAGGGGCTGCTTTTGATCAACACTTTGGCCCCTATGAGCTTCGTTTCGGCTCTCCATCGCGGAACGACTCTCGCATAGGTCAAATCGACGCTGGAATGAAATCGACCCTTTTGTCGAAACGACCCTTCTGTCAAATCGACTCTTAATTGTGTCAAATCGAGCCTTCTGTCAAATCGACTCTTAAATGTGTCAAATCGACCCTTCTGTCAAATCGACTCTTAATTGTGTCAAATTGACCCTTTTGTCAAATCGATTCTTAAATGTGTCAAATCAACCCTTCTGTCAAATCGACTCGTTAAGAGCGGTTGTCTGTAATAGTCAGGTAAGACGTGTAAAATGAAAAAATTCAAAATCTTTCAAACTTTGTCAGAATGTAGGCCTATATGAAGTATTAATGTTGTGAAAGTTTTATTTCGATCGGATAAATATTGAAGGAGAGAGACGTCGAAATTGGTTTTCCCAGGCCACTTTCGGTTTTTAGAGGTCATTTTACGGCACTACCAAAATCGCTCTATTTTGCACGTTAATGGGAATATTTCACGAAATATGATTTCATTTTATAAATTAGAGTTATTTATTTAGTAGCAGACGAAATTTAGAGACATTTCCGTGAAAAGTGAATATTTTACAGATTTTCTTAATGTTTTTTTATTTTTGAACCTCTTTATTATATGTCATATGAGGCAGCGAATATCTCCATTGTTACATCGATTCAGACAAAAAATTCATAACCAGGTCAAAGAAATATCTTTTTGCTTGCTATTGATCAAATAAAATTTTGGGGCAACGTAGAATTGAATTTTTGACGAATTTTTTCGTAACCCCTATTTGACCCGAATAACCGTATGTTATGTAATCAACGTCGAGTCATGTAGTTCTATAAATAACCAAAGAGCTCGTCAAAAGCGTTTACTTGTTCGAGTAAACAAGCCTAGGCCTATAAAACTATCGTAGCTAAAGCTGTACGATTGGCAGAAAGCATTTAGGTATAAATCACACTGTTTACAGTCGCTTATTGTTCAGGTAACCGTAATGCCTATAATATATTGTATAGCCGGCGCCGTTGATTTGGCGGATTTGGTTTTAATTATATTTTATCGGGGATATGCCGCGATAAGTATAGCAAGTGTATTTTCTCTCCCCTTCCCATAAACATCTGTTCTTTCACGACTCGTCATGCTTATAACTTTTCGAACATAAATAGTGCACGCGCTTTTTGTCAAAAACATCGGTCATTTTACGTTGAAATTGTAATTCGTTTACTTACAGTAGTTAATTTAATTAATATTAAAGCTGGATTCTTTCACCGTGATGTCATGCCAAAAGGTGTCTTTTCTATTTTTAAAAAAGACCCGCTGTTGATTTATGATTTGGTAATATTTACTACAGTTGTATGTCTTATATATTTGATTATTTTGTTGTTGCTCAATAACTTTGGTCAAACTTCAGACCAAACTTCTACGCACTGTTACTTATTAACTGGCCATCACTTTTAAAACAGCAAGAAGATAAAGACAACGTCTATGTGTGAGTTATCCATGAAAGAAATAGTTGGTTTACAAAATGAATTCCGTCTTCGTGGGTAAAATTAATGGGTTATAAATAATCTCTCCTGTTTGTGTTAAGCTACATGTAGGGATTTCCCCCGGTATATTTCTTCTCTTTTGTATGGCTGTTTGTGGTTACGCGTTATCTGACATATACTTTTGATCCAATTTCAATTACATTTATCCAACCATTTCTGGATGATACATCTAGAACACTCAGACAGTTCTCAGGCCAAAATAGTCAACTTGAAAGGGGGCCCAACTTTCCCAGAGGGGGCCCCGGAATGTTGGAATTGCGGAACGTGTTCTAAAATTGAGGTCGAAAAAGGTCTGCGGAAAAGTATTTTGAACCCCCCATTATCCAAAAATAATTTTGGAACGTTTTTCCCAAAAAACGTCGCCCCACCCACCCAGGCCCCTCCCACCCAGCCCCCTCCCACCCTTTACATTTTACTGTAACATTTTTGCTTTACCAGAAAACATTTTGAGGGGGCCCCGAAAAGGAAGGGG